AAAGGTTTTTTTTTTTTTTTTTTTTTTTTAATTTTATAGTTTTATACATTATTGTTGTCAAAATACATACCCACATATATAATATATATATTTATATCATAAATTTAATTAATATTTATATCACGTTAAATTAAAAACAATAAAAAATATCTAATAAACACGATTGGTAAGAACCAAAGCGTCAACTATAAAAATAAATGAGATCAAGATGTCAGATTCAAAAACTCAAGAAACTCAAGGACTTAAATACAACTTATACGAGTTTAGGACGAGAAGTGAAACGACCCTCGTACGAGTTTAAACTCGAAAATCTCGTATTAATACCATATAAAAGAAAGTTGACAAATATAATAATTAAGGTCACACGTTAGAAAACAAATATGAGAGGGAAAAAGAGTAATGACAATAATGAACAGGGTATTAGTCTTGCTTGCATGCATGAGAGAGAAACTGGAGAATTTCTATTTAATGCATGCATGTAGAAGAGAGAGAGCAGGTATGAGAGGGACTCGGAGCTTCCTCCAACCATACCAAGCAACATTTTGATTCATGGTCGGTTGAACAAGATTGCTAGCAACGAGGTAACGTATATTTCTTTTCGAGTTTGTTAAAAGTCATCTATTATTTGATTGAATTTTAGGGTAGAATTGATTTCTCTAAGTTCGGGAATTTTTACCATCAAACACGTACGGTTTACATTTTATTATATGAAATTCTCTCCATATAAATTAAACGGAGCAACAACAAGGCTATGGATGAGGATGTGGATGTTGATGTGGATGTGTTGAGAATTGTTAGGAGTGAGTTCGACGAGAGATTATGTTCAAAATGGACAATATCATACCATTATGGAAAATCCGAATTTCTAGACGTAAGTTGAGGAATTTTTTTTTTTTTTTGGAAAAAAATATGAAATTATAAATGCAAAAAAATAATATTTAAAAAAATTTAAAATTTATTATAGTCTCGGCATTGTGGGTTAATTTTTGTCCAAAATTTGCAATTTTTTATATATTTTAATTTTTGTTAATTTGACATATTTAATAAAAATAAAGGTAAAATCTTAAATTTTAATTAAAATAGAAAAATTCGTAAATAAATTAAATAAATTTCGGTCGACTTGATTAAATTAAATCCTTCATTATAATTGTGATAAGCAGTAGAAAAATTCTGAGAGGTTGTGTTCTACTGTTCTTCGTCTTCCCTACGCGGAATTTGTTTTCTAGTAAATATGGTGAATACTCCAAGAATTTCAAGAAAAATTCTTGTTGCTTCTTTGGTTTTGCGATTGGGGATTGAGGAAAAAAGTTTGAAGTTCACATGTCGGATTTCTAGGTCACGACTTGTGAAAGAAACACGGAAGAGGAAAGTTGTGAATTGAGGTAAATTTTTTTCTAGTGAATCCATGGAATTTGCGAGCAGGTTGTAGACAATGCTCGACATTTTGTTGTTGAAGTTTCCGGAGTTCGTGAAGGTATGAATTTCTTTGTTTGGACATCGATTTGGCAGAATGTTGGACGCTTTTAAGTTAGTAATTAGCATTATATTTCAGATTCAACTACTGGCCTTGGTTTAGAGTTGAAACGGAAGTAATCGTGGTGATTTTGATGAAGGTTTTGTTGTAGAGATTGTCATCTTGTATGATGTAATATTGGTTATACGATTTTGTTCTTGCTCTGTTGGAGTTTTGTCAACTACTGGTGAACTACTCATTGAGTGCTGTCCTGCTAGAGTGTGAATGGACAATCTTCAATGTAATAATTGGGCATTAGGACGTTTAATTTGTAGAAGATTTATATGAACTAGCCCACTTTAACGATTCTAGTTCTCTGTTTTTTCACGATCTGAAAATGATGCCTCTGTCTGGTTTTTTCCCATCCTTTGATCACTATGCTTTTCTCATTTCAAAATGCATCAAACACAAACACTTGAAGGTTGGCATGTCCTTGCACTCCCACCTTATTAAGTCCGCTCTTTCGTTTGATCCGTTCCTTGCTAACCGTCTTATTGACATGTATTCCAAATGTAATTCTATGGAAAATGCACAGAAGGCATTTGATGATTTACCCTTTAAAAATATCCACTCGTGGAATACCATTCTTGCCTCCTACTCACGTGCTGGATTTTTGAGTCAAGCTCGTATGATATTTGATGAAATGCCTCATCCAAATATTGTTAGCTACAATACCTTGATTTCTAGCTTTACTCACCATGGGTTGTATGTAGAAGCAATGGATATCTTTTGGCAAATGCAACAAGATTTTGATCGTTTAGTCTTGGACGAGTTTACTTTTGTGAGTATTGTGGGTACTTGTGCCTGTTTGGGTGCTTTGGAAATGTTGCGTCAGGTTCATGGAGCAGCTATTTTCATTGGATTGGAGTTCAATATGATTGTTTGCAATGCTGTAATTAATGCTTATGGTAAATGTGGCGAACCGGGCACGTCATATTCTGTTTTTAGTAGAATGCAGAAGAGAGATGTTGTTACCTGGACCTCCATGGTTGTAGCCTATACTCAGACATCCAAGTTAGATGATGCTTTTCGAGTGTTCAGGAGTATGCCAGTAAAAAATGTTCATACATGGACTGCTTTGATTAATGCTTTTGTGAAAAACAAGTATAGCAATGAGGCCCTGGATTTGTTTCAACAAATGTTGGAGGAAAAATATTCTCCTAATGCTTTCACATTTGTAGGTGTTTTAAGTGCGTGTGCAGATCTTGCTTTGATAGCAAAAGGGAAAGAGATTCATGCAATCATAATCAGAAGGAGCAGCGACCTTAATTTTCCGAATGTATACATGTGTAATGCTTTAGTTGATTTGTACAGTAAGAGTGGTGACATGAAATCAGCTAGGACGTTGTTTAACTTGGTTCCTAAAAAGGATGTAGTCTCGTGGAATTCACTAATAACTGGGTTTGCACAAAATGGGCTCGGAAGGGAAGCACTTATTGCATTTAGGAGGATGATAGAAGTAGGGATAAAGCCTAATGAAGTGACGTTTCTTGGTGTGCTGTCTGCCTGTTCCCATACTGGTTTGTCATCTGAAGGATTATATATTATGGAGTTAATGGAGAAGTCTAATGATATTAAGCCTAGTTTAGATCATTATGCAGTCTTGATTGATATGTTTGGAAGAAAAAATAGACTTGCCGAAGCATTGGATTTAATATCCAGGGCACCCAATGCATCAAAACACATCGGTATATGGGGTGCAGTTCTGGGGGCTTGTCGAATACACGACAATTTGGACCTGGCTATAAGAGCTGCAGAAACTTTGTTCGAGATGGAACCAGATAATGCTGGAAGATATGTAATGTTATCTAATGTCTTTGCAGCAGCAAGTAGATGGATGGATGCCCATAATGTGAGAAAACTTATGGAAGAAAGAGGTTTCAAGAAGGAAGTAGCACAAAGCTTCATAGAAATAAGAAACGTAAGACAGAAGTTTGTGGCAAGAGATAATTCCCATAGTCAGATGGGTGAGATATACGAGTTAATGTTCATACTACTAGATCATATGAAAAAATTTGGTTACATGCCTCTTGACGATGGTATTTACTTTTATGATGGTTAAGAGTACTTGAACTTTAAGCATGATTTATTTGGATCACAGCGTTGCAAATGTGTAGACATTGAAGAAGCTAGCAATTTTAAGGAAAGAATTTGAGAGTGTGAAGCCACATGATGAAGCTACAAGGCTAAAAAGGACAGATTGCTATCAAGTAGGATACCTGTATTTTTATTTATTTTTTTGTAGCCTATAACTAAGATTGGGATGGTAATGGATAAGAATATTCATCATTCAACATTTCAACATGGATAAGAATAACTAAGATTGACATTCAGGGGTTTTGATTTTGCTGCTTTTCGTTCTGTAATCCTCTAGTAATATTTTCGTTACTGGAAGTAATATTTGTGGGTGCTGAGGTTTGATCGAGCTTTGTCTTATGAATTAGTTTGCAGAGATGAAATTGAGAAATAATTTCCCCGCAAGAGGGAAGCATTGTTCCTTTGTTATGGCTGCTCTTGCATTCACCATCGTGGTGTTGTGGGCGTGGGGGGAAAATTCTTTTATTACCACTTCTCAGTCAGTTCAAGCATGGTATAGAACTTCTTATTCAGGTATGCTCGTCAACCCTTATTATAAATGTAGAGCATGTCGATTATGTAATTAGACTAGTTCTTGGCATTCTTCGTTCTCTTGTTGGAACCTTTAGACTAGTTTTTGAATGTGAAATTTTTATCTCATTCCAAAAAAAAAAGAGGAAGTTCGAAACAATTGAGATTTTTAACCTTGTTTAGCTGATGGGGAGAAATCTCTATCTGCTCATTCCCCCATTCCTCGCTTAAATGGAGACTTCACCCTACGAGTTAAAAATACATCTCTACATTTTACCATAGGTTCAACTCTTTCTCCTGATACATGCTGCTATCCCTTTTCTCGCACCCCTCTATTCAGCCTTAATGCTTTGAAAATTGAAAACTTACCAAGTGAACATGCAATCCTCCTTTACACCTGGCAGACAAAATTGAAAATGTTAAAATCGGGTATTTAAAATATGATTGATAAATGTAATGAATTTAGTTAAATGCTGAAACATATTCAAATGCAAATATAGTGTATTTTGCACCTTTTCTTTTCTTGCTATTTGCGTAGCTCTTGCTGATGATTTTTTAGGGTTCATGGTAGGTTCCACATACAGTTCTGTAATACCTGACACAGTAAAAGAGAACACTGAAAAAACATATTCAAATTCAAGTACAAAAGAAGAGACCGTAAAAGATGATGCACATTCAGAAGTTACACACACATATGCTGCATCCACAATAAATTTTAACAGGAGCAAGAGTAGTGAGAACAGTAAGTACTTAGCCCAAACTAGTGGTGCTGCTTTCGAATCTACTTTATTTTTTTATTTCTTAAACTTTTCAGCCTGTAGCTATGGAAATGGTGAATGGGTCCTTGACGATAGTCGACCGCTATACTCTGGTTTTGGATGTAAGCGATGGTTATCAGCAACATGGGCTTGTAGACTGACCGAGCGGACTGATTTTTCCTATGAAAGATATCGTTGGGTTACCAAAGATTGTGAATTGCCAGCATTCGAGCGGTCTGAATTCCTGAAAAGGGACATGACTTCCCAAAGCTGAAAGCCTTCCTCCACTTTCCACGAGGGAAGTGAAGGTTAATTTATCCAGATTTTCTCCCACAAGCGATAACAGTGGGCTTTTTTTTTCATTCTTTTGTCACTAGTAACCTATAGTATGTTCGGGGTGATAGTTTTCAAACGAAAAGAACCAGAAACACCTAAAAAAAAATAAAGATGATGTATAGCTGTCTTGTTTTTATTTAGCGAACTAGTTATAAAATATGCAACTAAACAAGTTTCATCCTGCCCTGAATTCTGAGAGTTGAGAGTATAGTTATCTAACTTATCTTATGGTCTTCAACTTGTCTGCCAATTGGTATTTATTTAATGGTTTATGATTTAGTTAGGTTAGTTTCTGCTATTCTTGACATTTTTTTGAGTGATCTCAATATGTTTTTTTCAGAATGCAGGACAAAACCATTGCATTTATTGACGATTCATTAGGAAGACAGCAATTTCAATCTTTGATGTGTATGGCCACGGGTGGGGAAGAGAGTCCTGAAATTAAAGACGTAGGAAAGGAATATGGTCTTGTCAAAGCTAAGGGCGCTATTCGTTCAGATGGGTGGGCATATCGTTTTCCGAGTATCAATACTACTATTTTATACTATTGGTCAACAAGCCTCAATGAGTTATTGCCATTGAACATGTCAGACCCAGCCACTAGTGTAGCCATGCATCTTGACCGTCCGCCAGCATTTTTGAGAAACTTCCTCCATTTGTTTGATGTGTTGGTTCTTAATACTGGACATCACTGGAACAAAGTAAAAGTTAGAGAAAATAGGTGGGTGATGTACAAAGATGGAATTCGTAGTGAACTTGATAACTTGAAAGAAATTGACACAGCTAAGAATTATACTGTGCACAGTATTGTCCAATGGCTGGATTTGCAACTCTCCTCTCATCCCCGACTCAAGGTTTTTTTCAGGACCATATCTCCTCGCCATTTTCGCAACGGGGAATGGAATAACAAAGGTAGCTGTGTCAATACCACACCGTTATCAAGAGGAAGCAAAGTAGAACAAAATAGATCAAACGATCCAATTGTTGAGAGTGCTGTAAGTGGCACACAAGTAAGGATGTTGGATATAACTGCTCTTTCCGATCTGAGGGATGAGGCTCATAGATCCCACTACAATATCAAAGGAACTTCGGGTGGTAGTGATTGCTTGCATTGGTGTCTTCCCGGTATTCCGGACACATGGAACATGATTCTTTTTGCTCAAATGTAGCTTCCTTTGTCTTAAAAGTTCACTTTTGGACATTCAGCTTTGCTTCCTAGTAAGACATCTTAATTTGTAGCCTCGAGCGAAGATAATAACTTTGAGGTGGGTTTGTTAGCTAGGATGCTCTTCTGAATTAAATAATTGTTTTGTATGATAAAGAAAATATAAATGAATACACTATTATTAGAAATGAGAATTGAGTGCAAACAAATTTGTTCCAAAAGAGAGCATCATTTACAATTTTATTTTAATATTATAATTATTTAAATTATTATAATTATTATTTTTAATTCTTTCATCTTTGAATAAATATTTTTTTTGGGTTAAGATTTTTTTTTTTCATTTTTTATCTAAATATTATTTTTTTAGTTCTTGCCTAATTTTATAGTCGATTTATAGTGAACGACTGAATCACAATATTGTAATATTTTAAGTTACTTCTAAACTTAAAGATTGCTCAATAAATTAATTACATCAAACTTTTTTTTATACATTTTATTATTTTGTATGAATTGGTTATGAAAAAAGCGTATCCTAATAAAATTAGAGAATTTGTATAATAAATTAGTCTTTTAATTATAATTTTTCTATTCGCGAAGTTTGGTAGTACCTTAATATGCTTAATTAAGAGTTGAGTTTGAAAAAAAAAATATATATTATAGATAAGTATGTGATTATTTTATTGTGGCTCTATGTCATTTTCATACTTAAAAGATAGTAACACTTCCTTTATTGCACGGAGGGAGGGCTTAGTGTAGAGAGAGAGAAATTTAATGCTCATTGAAATCCTTAGGATAAGACATGGGGCTCTTTCTTGTAACCCCCAAAGTGCTTCACCTTTGCAATATATGACCAAGAAATACTATTCTCATTTATAGCTTCTATCACAAGAACATAATGTTGAGGATCTTCGTGATTGCAAATACAATCGAACCGACCATTCACCACGCGCTTGTAAATCAAACTATGTCTGTTTTCCCATTTCATTGCAGCCTCTCCGGCCTCTTTTACTTTTTTGTGATTGAGACCCCTAATTGCATATGGAAGTGGAGGAAACTTAGGTTCACAACTCATTTTGGAACACCTTTGATAAATAGTTTTAACAAACTTGCTTTGATCATGAATATTTTGGAGTGTCATATTTATAGTTGTGGCTAAACGTTATTCAAATTGATATAGTCGAATATTGCAACAAACACCAATTAAAGATTCCTCTCTTATTTTCTAGAGATAAAAAAAAGATTATTCTCTCAAATATAATACGGTATTGATTATTCTCTTTAGAACACATTTTTTACATAAATAATTGAGTCAAGCAAACACTAGCGCTCCATTCCATTGCTAATAATATTATATGTTGTTTAATCAATTTAAATATTAAACATGAGAGAGTTAAATGAATTTTAAATGTTAGTATAGGGACATGAGAATAAATTATTCTAATGTCCAATATTCGATATATTTTCAGAACTAAAAGTTTTCTCTCCTTTTTCACCTTTAACGTTTTTTTTTTAAAAAAAAAAAGTAAAATGTTAGAAGGAACAAATGAGGAAGGAGAAAAAAAAGAACGAATAAATAAAGTGTGTTTTATCGTATTTATGCCTTTATTTTTTAAAAATAATATGAAAGTTTGTCCGTGTGGTGTCATAATTGTGTCTCATATCGGTATATCATATCTTGGAGCTCTTACATATTAGATTTCCGTAAATAGATATCTCTACCTAAAGGGAAGTTAAATTTTAATGGAAACTAATATTGTTATAAGATAATTTATAATTTTAATTATTAAAGTATTTGTTTGGTCATGTTCATTAATTTTTAAGCTTTTGCTAAATCATTTTTCTAAAATGATATTTAATAAATTTTTAGAACATATATTTGCCTGAAATCTTGTTATTGTTGTTTTTTTATGTCCAATTCTCTTCCACTGCAAACCTAAATTAACTGAAAATAAATTAATTGTTTTGTTTTAATTTTATTAACCATGATTATTTATGAATTTCATTAAAATAATTTTAATGTGGGATTATGTTTTTTTTTTTTGTCAAAATTTATTTATTTATTTTTGTCAAAATTTATTTTATTCATTAAATTTTTTTAATGTTATATTAATAAAATTAATATAAATTTAACAAAAAAAAATTGTATTTTTTTTTAGGATCAGCCGGCTAAATTAATAAAAATATCTTTAAATTTTGCCCTCAAACTAAAAAATACTTCTAAACTTCAAAATGTTTTATAATATCCTTAAACTTTTGAAAAAGTCTAAAAAACACCCATAAACTTTCAAATTAAAAAATATCCTGATCATTAGTTTTGGAGGGAAACTGTTCATCATTTTTTTTAGAAAATACGAATTATCCAAAGGTTTCAAAACCAACCTTTTAACTTTCCAAAGTATTTAAAAGATATGCATGAATTTTCAAAAATTTTATTAATATCTTCAATAAAAAAAAACTCAAAAAATAATCTTACGGTTCGTAATGAACTTTCAAAAGTAATATTAAAAAAGAGGATAATCTATGAGGAGTAGATCAATACTTTCCAAATATTGACGACAAAACATTTATTATTATTATTATTATTATTATTATAATAAAAGGGAAGGGTGTTAATACTACATCTAAATTTCCACCCGTATGTTTTAAACACAATACTAAATTTAAGATTATTTTTGAAAATTTTAAAAGTGGAAGACTATTAATAAAACTTTATAAAGTTTAACTACACCGGTTGAAAGTTCAGCCATATTTTTTAAACAAACTATTAACCGTTTCTATAAAAAACTAGTAAGAATATTTTGTAGAATTCTTTTAAACCAATTTAGAAGTATAATTGAAACTTTTTAAAAAAATTTAGAGGTATTTTCAAGATAAAAGCATATAGTTTAGGGATATTTTTATTAATTTAGCCAAAAATTTATATAAATAAAAAGAGAGGGAATATGGGATAGAAAAACATACGTATAGAAAACTTTTGATTTTGGAAACATATCAAATGGGATTTGACCGAGAACAACTTATTCTCATGGCCATCTTCAAAACATGTCGGACATGTATTAGACACGTATAAAGATAAATTCAACATTTTTTGGATATTTATAGAACACTTACATCCAAATAAATTTTTAGAGTAAAATGCACAATAAATTATTTAAAATGTGTTAGTGCATAATGTTATTGATTTTAAATTCCTTTCTAATATAAAATTAATAAATTTTAATATATATATAATAAATTAGTCATTTTACTTATAATTTTCATACTTATTGACAAAGGGAGTTAGGTGTCCCTAATCCTATTAGGCAAATTTTAAAGAAAAAAGAAAAGGATAAGTAGATATATAGATAGATAAGTATATTATTATTTTATTGTGGCTCTATGCCATTTTCATAGTTAAAACACAATAACGCCCTCATTTATTGTAGAGAAAGAGAGAGGGCTTAGTGTAAGAGCTAGAGAGCAATTTAATGCTTCTTGTAATCCTTGAGGATATCTTGAACGGAAAAGACATGGGGCTCTTTCCCGTTACCCCCAAAGTGCTTCACCTTTGCAATATATGACCAAGGAATACCATCGTCATTTATAGCTTCTATTACAAGAGCATAATGTTGAGAATCTTCGTGGTTGCATTTAGAATCGGACAGACCGTTTATCACACGCTTGTAAATCAAACAACGTCTTTCCTTCTCGTTTTTCCATTTTATTGCAGCCTCTGCAGCCTCTTGTACTTTTTTGTGATTGACACCTCTAATTGCATATGGAACGGGAGGAAACACAGGTTCACAACTCATTTTGGAACACCTTTGATAGATAATTTCAACAAACTTGGTTTGATCATGAATACTTTGGAGTGCCATATTTATAGTCGTGGCTGAACGTTATTCAAATTGATATAGTCGAATATTGCAACGACCACCAATTGAGCATCCCTCACTTATTTTTCAAAGACAAAAAAGATTATTCTCTCGAATATGTTACGATATTGATTATTCTCTTTAGAGTGAATACACATTTTTTTTTATCTGAGTAGAGTTAAATGGGTAATTTTTTAGCCATCCTTCTAATAAAAAAAAGTGATTTAGCTATGCAAAAGATTAATTAATTTTTTAAAATTAAATATATTTTTATGTAAAAATAAATAGATTCACAGCATTTTTTAACACAAACAAATTTAGAGATAAATTCTAAATTTTGTAGGGTTACTATTTTGTGGAGAAATTTACGTATAATGACTTATAATTTAATTTTTATATTATGCTTCTAATTATTGAAATTATAGTATTTTTTATTTTAAAAAATTTATTTTTAGTCTCTAAAATTTAGTTTATAATCCCATTTTAATTGAACTATGCGACACATAATTTTTTTTTTTTTAGAATATTTTATTTTGCAATGCTTTTTATAACTATTTTGGCTTTTCATTACTCATTTCTAGAAACGTTTCACCGAAATTTTAGAAATTAAAAATTAATTTTTGTTAGACTTTTTCAAACCACACATAAAATGTATTTTTTTAAAAAATAATTTTAGAAGAAAAATAAATGAAAAATATTTATGGGATATTTAATTAGTTTTTAAAATTTATATGGCGTAAAATCTTTATATTTTTAATTAAAAAAATTAGAGAATTTAAAATTAGAAAGGGTTACTTTTAACTAGAAAATAAGTCTAAAATTACAAATAAACTTAGTTGGTGCGCAAAGAAAGAATATTGACATGGATTAAAAAAGTCGACATTATTGATATATATTTGACGATATCGAGCTTCACATAGATATTACTATATTTTGTGCTTGAAATTCAAGTTTGTTCATGGTTGAAAATATGTCAAATCAAACTATAAGATGCTAATTAATTTAGGGCTAATTTTTCATGTTGTTAATTTGAATTTTAATTGTTCCTTATCTCAAAACAAAGGAAAAAAAAATGGTTTTTCTCTCTTAAATATTGTATTGGTTCACTTTTAAAAGATAAGTATCCAAAGACTAAAGTACTAGTTATGGCCCCGACATTTCCCTTCGACATTGTCACGCTACTTCTCGTTTCTAAAAGTGAAAACTATCCCCACAAACTAACACGAGTCTTTTTAGGATGTTTTACCCTTGCTCATGCATTCTAGGAAGAAAGTACGCTTAACAATGAAATTTCTATGATTGAGCCACCGAAAAAGAAGTTGCGGCTTGTTGGTAGAAGCAGTGACT